TACGCATCTTTTTTAAGACTTTTATGGCAACAATTCTACAGTTACTTTTGCTGACTAAAGTAGTATTTTGTTGGGAACTTCATTCAATAGTGTTCTGATGAGTACATTTTTAACAAAGATGCAAAATGTAATAATTTAATAAAATCGTTGTTTACAATTTCAGCAAAACATTTCATTTTTTATGAGTGATAAAGTAGTCTCGAAATAGACAGTTAATGTCTAAGAAGAAAAATGTATTGAATTAGTTTTATTCAAATATTTGGACTGGAATGTAGTAATTTAATTACGAAAAATAATGCGTGATAATAATTTTATATTATGTTTTACTGTTTATATAGATATGACACAGAAAATGGAATATCTGCTGAGAGGATTCTTCCAGTTCACATCATCCGAAGGCCTTCCAGTTCATATTTCTTACGTAGCTGATGAAAACGGATTGCAACCTTCTGGAGATGTTCTACCAACCGCTCAGCCAATCCCACTTGCTATAGTGAAAACTTTGGAATACATCGCAGCTCACCCTCAACCTCCGAATTCTAGTGCTCCAGTTAACAAGTTTTACTAGTAAATAATTAGGTTAGATCTACATTCTATGGGATGGAACTGTCTATTACGGATTTTGTAAATAAACGTATGTTTCCCAATATATTATTATTTTATATTTTACCTATATTGTTACGAATTATTTTTTTATTTTATGAATATAACACTCACACAAAAAGTCCAAACTCAAGAAATCTGTATATATCATTTCCGAAGGAATTCGATGAGCTGAACACGATCCTGTAACGAAAAGTCATGACTTACCGATGAATTTCGAAGGAACGTGAAATTTTTGGGTCCCAAACAAGGGCCAAAACTGATTGTTTTCTAAATTTTGTCCAAATATACAGGGTGTCCCGGTACTTGATACAAAAAAGTCGAGTACAGATAGATGAGGCCAAAATAATATCAGTTCTTTATATATTTTTTTTTATACGGGCCTTCGATAATAAATTACAGTCCCTCAAAGGTGAAAATTAAAAAGTTATTTTTATTTACAGTCTCTAAACCATTAACTTCAGCATGATGCAAATTTGGTGCTCGATAAAAAATGCGTACAGCTTGTTTTTGATGTTGTAATTGAAACTTCATTATATCCAGAACGCCAGGGGCGGACTATGCAACAACCCAGAATTTTTGCGTAGATGACGATCGTAATCTGCCTCTATCAAAAATAAGTTCCCTGAAGAATTTGCCAACGATAATACCCTCTTGGCTCAACTCGATACAATTAACAGTTTAGGAAATATTTGTATTTTTTATCCCAGTGCACATCTCCACCATTTTTTGTTTTTAATTTTTAATTGCTCTTAATTATTTTGTTAGAAGCATACATATTTTTAAAATAATAGCCGAGAAAATCTTACTGTCTACTACGGTAATTTTCATTAACAAAATTTGACAAACACAATTTCCACATACCATAAAATAGAAAAACAAAACAAAAATACACACATCAAAGGCTACGAATGTTATTTGTACACGAAGGTAATAATTTAATAGGTCCATACGTTTTTGAGGAACATCTGAACGAACATCGACCTTCGGAGTTTTTGCAAAATAATTTGCAGCTACTATTAGACGATGTTCGATTAGACACCCGAAGAAACGTTTGATTCATGCACGATAGGGCTCCTCCCATTTGAATAATGATGTACGAAATTATTTATCTATTGTGTTAATAATAAATGGATTGGGAGAGGAGGCCCAATTTCATGACCACCACGTTCTTCAAACTTTAACCCGATGGACTTCTTTCCGTTTCCGGAAGTTTAGTGTATGCAACCCCAATACAGACAAGGGATGAATTGCTACAAAAAATTAATTTCCATTGTGATAATATATATAAAAAATAATATTCGTAAACTTAGGAAGTTTGTGGAGGTGAAAAGTGCCCATATTGAAAATGTATTTTGATAGTTTTCTTTCTTTTAAATAATTTTTTTAACTTATTCTTGTTTTGTTTTTCTATTTTGTGTTATGTGTAATGTGTATTTGTCAAATTTTGTTAGTGAAAATTACTTTATCAGACAGTAAGATTTTCTAGGCTCTTATTTTAAAAATATGTACAGTTCTAATATAGTAATTATGTCCAATTAAAAATTAAAAACAAGAAATGGTGGAGGCCCCCCTCGATGTGCACTATGACATAAAATCACAAATATTTCCTAAACTGTTAATTTTACCGAGTTGAACCAAGAGGGTATTATCGTTGGCAAATTCTTCAGGGAACTTATTTTTGATACAGGCAGATTGTGATCGTCATCTATAAAAAAATTCTGGGTTGTTAACCATTGGGCATAGTCCGTCCCTGGCGTTTTAGGCATAATGAAGTTTCACTTATAATATCAAATACAAGCTAAACGCATGTGTTATCGATCACCAAATTTGCATCATGCTGAAGTTAATGATTTAGAGACTGTAAATGAAAATACCTTTTTAATTTTCACTTTTGAGGACCCGTAACTTATTAACGAAGGCCTGTATGAAAAAAATTTATATGAAGGACTGATTTTGACCTCATCTATTTGTACTCGACTGATTTTTTTCTAAATTTTGTCCAATTATATCATTTTCGTAGTAAAATTTTCCCGTGACTTCGAAATTTCTCCGAAAATCCACTATTTGGGTGTAAACTGGCCCAAATATATCGGTGATATCATTAAATGAAGTTTAGTACTTTAGAGCGATTTCATAACAGCAGTAACAGAATTGAAAAATGTTCTTCGGATAGCGAATGATATAAATTCCTATGTTTTTTGGGTAGCCGAATCCGAATCCAACTTCAAAATTATTCAAGCGAGAAAAAAGGGTAAGAGTTCCACTGTTAGATGACATAACTCGTTTTCAGAAAAAAAAATAAATTCCACGATGTAATCTTGGATGTTCATTCATGTTTACGGTGTACGCGCTAAGCACAGTATAGTTGACCCAACTTTTACCACTACGCCATAATGATGTGCAATGTTGCCAGATTTCACCCATAGTTTTACAAGACCTTAATCAATAAATAGACACTTTTATTCAAATAAAAGTTAATTGCCATGCATTAAACACGAATAATATATGCGAGCTAATATGTGGTGTATAAATTTCATTCGCATATATTATATTTAGTTCGCTCAAATTAGTTTATGTAAGGTTGGTACTGCAACGAAACTCCCATGTGTAAGCATAGGCTTCCCTCCCGTACCACCTGCCCCGCAAGAGATCTGTCGAACCTCCTTAAAATGATCTTAATATCTGATCATGTTATCTGTCTGATATCTGTTCTTGAAGTTAAGTTCATAACTTATTGTAAAACTTTCCGCTCTTGTAATTTCCGAGGTCAAAAAGGAAGGTCCCATTCAAAATTTTGAATTTGACCCTCAAACGACCTTGAAGTCAAGGTCATTTTCAAGGTCATGTCAAGATAGCCCCTTTTTCACCCTACAACTTTTGTGTGAAACATTTTTTTTAAAAAGTGATCCCAACAAGGTACTCCGTTGTCTCAAGATTCTTGTTTTTTTATGGCCAAAATATGGGATAAATCGAAATAATAATAAGAACAAAGAGTTTTTTCTTTTTTCAATGGAAATCCGTGGTAAAAAATGGGTGTTTCTATTTAAAGAAATCAACTTCCGGTCTGGAAACACGACTTCCAGTCTAGACCGGAAGCCGTAATATGGATCTTTCAATGCCCCCCTCGGTGCCCTACAGTTTTTGTTTGGATTTTTTTTCGAAAAAATCTAGTCCAACCGAGATATTATTTTGTCTCAAGATAAATGCCCCACCCGTACTATATGGGTCAAAACTGATTTTTTCCGAAATTTTGTCTAAATACAGTGATTCACAACTTATCCAAAAAAATTTGGGAATAGAAATGGCACGAGAAATGGAGTCAATATCGTAAAAAAAAATTTGTAAAATCCTTATAGTTTCCGAGAAAAAAATTATTGAAGTTGTATTACTTTCAACCATTAAATAGCTGGACAACTGTAGTCTCTAGCATCATTCGTAATACGCGTACAGAGCCACGTGGCCTCAGCGACTCCGAATACTGAAATTCGTCGTTGCCATAGTGTTTACAATTAAATAGCTTTTTAGTAGTTATTGTCAAAAATGGCTTGCGTGTATAGCAACTCGGAGTTGACAAATATCGTTTTAATTTATAGTAAAGCAAGAAAACATTTGTATTATGGTGAGGCATTATTTGTGTTATGGTGAAACAAGACAGCATTTGTGTTAGTTAGTAGAAACTGAGTAACGGATCCAAACGTGTTTACATGTCTGGACAAAATTTTGAACAGTTATTAGTTAATTAGTTAACAGTTAATTATTTTATTATTTAAAACCACAAATTAATTTTGTTAATTAATAATAACAATAGCGGCAAAATCAGTTGAATTTACTGATATAAAATAGGTGCTATAGAATTATATTTATTCCTTTACTTGCGAGTTTTTGTCCGATTTTATCACTGCCGCCGTAACGTTTGCATTGTGCCAGGTCAGGTTTTACAGTGGACCCGTTTCCAGTGCCGTGCAAAAATGTATTTTTAAATCATTTTCGAACTGCCCTTTTTGATTTTTTGTTTAAAAAATTGTATTTGTAATAGTCCCCTGTACATCCAGATTTTTTTTTTTTTTGATAATTTCTGAATTACCCTGTATATCATTTTCGAGAATATCGAGGTCAAGTGTTTAGTACCCCAAAATACTACAAAAATGAGAGAACAGTTACCACCAAAATAATCTTCAACGGCTTTAAAATCGATTAGGAGAATAAGTTTGCGATGTAAAATTTATAAAGACACATTTATTTATCATAAAAAAAATATTCGCAACATACACATAAAACCACAACAATCTAATACCTAATTTAATTATTTATACTTTCTAAAAGGAGCACTATCACCCTTAGGCTCAGGGTGCGCAGCATTATATTCCCGAGATCTCAATATCGCTGGTGGAATGGCTGCGTTAGTGAAGTGGTAAGCAACACATTTCCAGAAGGTATAAATCCATTTTCATTGGCTGTGTATGAAATTTAAACTAGAACACCTTCCGGAGAGGTGTATTGATAGGATCCTCTTGCAGAAAGAGCTGATTCAGGACCAGCAGCTACTAAGCTATCAGATTCTTGAACACATATTCCATTTTCCGTATCATATCTATGAATAAATAATAAATGTATTCAATCGAGAGCATCTGGCTAATGTAAATTCCGGTACTTACGCATATTTGTAACTGCTACCATCGGGGGCAATATTACTTTGTAAACGAAGAATTCCGATAGCCTTTCCTGAATATAATGGTATTGAAGAGATCAAGCCTGATAGTCTCATTGGGTATATTCGTGGTACCATAATCACCGCTGCTGAAACTACAGCGATTAACGCAACGGAGGTCAAAACCTGAAAATACAGAAAATTAAATTGTTACTAAAATATTGAACCTGAACACATTTTGATTATAGCTCACTAATTGTTTAATTATTTAAATATGTTACTTATTACAATATGACTTACCAATTTCATCATCTTGTCTGATTTAGATAACTACGTAGATTATTTAAACTGTAGTTGTATGTAACTAGTGTATTTATATAAAATGCTAAAGAAATTCTACATCTTTTAATATCCTTTACTGAAAAGATTAAGGTGATATTTTAATTTGAAAAGAAACTGGTTTTGTATTTTGCAATGTATTGCCTTAAGGAATATCATAAAAAGTAGCCGGAAGGTAAAAAATGTAGACATCAATTGGCACTAATTTGTTGTTAGCACCCAATAATAATATGTATGATTAATTTCAGATGAGACAGAAGTATTCTCTGTTAACATATTGTAATGTTTTGTGCTATATCCATAAGATAAAAAATACGAGAAATAATTACCTACAATTGAAAACATCAAATAGTTAAACGGTCTAATCATAAAGCGTGTCCCAATATTCCATCTATATGAAGCTACCACAAATAAGCAGGTTTAACTACTAACTAAACTTACCTCTATCCTAAATTACTTCGTTTAGCAGCTAGGGAACATTAAAATTGACAAAAGAAATGTTTTCTTCAAATAACTTTGAAACTCCTTTTAAGATTGTATTGAAATTTAGTACTCTAATACTACCATACAGATGTCACTTTATGATATATTAAACGAAGTAATTGGACTAACTTCCTTAAACTAATCTGCTCACAATTTTGTAAGGGGTCATGATATAGCTTCTGTTTTATTTTTGTTTTAAAAGTGAAGGCTTTTGAAGAAAATTTGTCCTTCTTATAAATATTGTATTTATTGGGTGTCCCAAAATTCATATAATATTTGAATTTTTCGCCATTTATGGGGCAGAGTTGCCAACAAAAAGAAGACAGCGTGACAGTTGACAGGACAGTACAGGATTATTAAAAATAGATCGATACAAGAAAGAATAATGTGTTTTCATTGTTGAGCAATATTTTTAAAATAATGAAGGTTTGGCAGCTACAGTTCGCAATTTTCGTAAAAATTTGATCGGAATAGTGATTTAACTTCATCAACTGTGAAGAGATTAATGGAAAAATTCAAGGAGACTGAATCAATTAATGATCTTAAATACGCTGGTCGTCCTTCAACAAGTCGCTCAACAAAACATCGAAGCAGTTCGCGAGAGTGTTGCTGAGAGTCCAGGAACATCAATTCGGAATTGTGGTCAAAAATTAGACATTTCGAGTTCTCTACAGTCTGTTTGTTTGAAGATTTTCATCTTCATGCTTACAAAATTCAACTGACTCAAGAATTGAAGCCTACTGCCCACACAGAGCGAAGAGAGTTCGTTGAATGTATGGAACAACAAGTGGATGCTTATATTTTGAACAAAATAATCTTCGCTATGAGAATCATTTTCATCTTAATGGTTTCGTTAGTCGACAAAATTGTCGCATGTGGGGTTCAGAAAATGTACGAGTGATGGTTGAGAAACAACTGCATTCACAACGTGTCACTGTTTTGTGCGGATTTTGGGCTGCAGAACAACATCGGACCATTCTTCTTCGAAAATGCAGCTTGGCAGTTAATGATGGTCACTATCGGAACATGATAATCCAATTTTTTGTGCCAAAATTGCAATAGATGGATGTAGACGACATGTGGTTTCAACAAGTAATTTCCTGGTCGTGTAATTTCCTGTTTTCGTGATCAGAATTGACCGCCCAGTATATGAGATTTAACGCAATTGGACTTTTTTCTTTGGGGTTTCTTGAAGTCTAATAAAGTTTAAGCCAAAAAGTCCAGGACCTCCCATACCGTGAATGAGGATATTGAGCAGTATATCAACGAAATTCAGCCGCATTTATGCAAAACGGTCATGGAAAATTTCAACAAAAGGGAGCGTATGTGCCAGCAAAACCCTGGAGGTGATTTACCCGATATGCTTTTCCATACATAACCCTATACTGTATACTTTATGAATCAATAAAAAAATTTACATTTTTTATTAAAAACGTGTGTTTTCCTTCAAAATTACTTCTTACTTGAATTTTTGGCCACCCTTTATGATAGTGATGGGTTAATTAACTTTTTATTAGATCAATACTAATGTATTTTCCATTCAGACCTGAAATAATTACGTCATTTCTCTAATTCTAGAAGGAGTGCCAGCGTTATTTGAAAAAAAAATTCTTTTGCCAACTTTGATGCCTCTAGCGACGAAACAACTCAGAATAGAGGTAATTTTAGATTAATCTGTTTATTTTGATCCTAGGTATCCCCATGTACTAGGTACACGGAATATTGAGACACTCTGTATGCTTGAAGATAAATTGATAAACAATGATAACGTTACGTCGGTAACAAAATATAGGTAATTCATTTTAACATGACGGATATACAGATTTAATTATAAAAACGCGCAGGTATTTTGCTCAGGTAAATACATAGAGTGTACTAGAAATCAGTGCCAATATTTTAATGACTATTTAACTTATCAAATGCAACAATGTTTGTTTATTTTATTTTTTCCAAATACCTCCTAGTTTTAAAAAATTTTCAAAGATGGATCGGTTAAGCCGGTTTGGCGGCATGTCCACTTAGGTCAGCGGTTTTTTTAAATTTTAAACTAAACAATTAGTGTACTAGAGAAAGATAAATACGGGGAGAAATCATATGTAAGAGTAAAACAAAATTTTTAAATAATCTTCATTGTCTTATTCGCCGCTAAAGACTACATGCAGAAGCAATAACTCTGCTTTAATTATTAATTTGACTGTCATTCTTTAAGTTTAACCTTAGCTTTTGTTTATTTAAGTTTTTTATAAATTGCAATTATTTGTTGACATTTTTGTTTTTCGTTACAGTGCATTGTAGAAGTTATAATTTCCAAATATGCGTGTTCTTAGAGTCTACATAATAAAAATATTAAATTTCTGTAAGGTGTTTTTTAATTATGGTGTCAATGACCTGCATACTTATAAATCTTTTGATATACGGAGTGTCTCAATTTTACTTTAAAAGAATAGAAGAAAATAGGAAGAAAAAATAGAACCTGTAGAAGTTGCTGTATTTACTTATTTCGAAATATATACTAAATTAGTATAAAAATCCTTTAGCAAGTGGCTAAGAATCTTGACATAATGAGACCACTGGGTAATTTGTAAATTTTATTTGAGCATTTAATTTCTAAAGTGACTTCAATGAAAACAGATTTCTTTACTTGTAATTAGTCTTTTCTAAGCTATTATTACTATTTTTTAATTTAAAATAAAAAATATGATATCTGTAAAATGGAATTTTAAGGTCATTGTAGCCAGCAAAAGACTAAAATTTAGAACTAGAAATTTTTATTATTTTTGGAAACTGAGCGCTTTTCTACTTCTTCGATAATAATAATTTTTTGTATGTTTATAATTATACAGGGTGGTCCCGAGGTAATGGGCCAAAATTCATGGGTAGATTCCCGAAGCAAAAATATTGCGATTTAGGCGAACTTACCTTAGTCCATTTGATAGTTAAAGAGATACAGGGTGTTAAATATAAAATATTATTTTAGTTTATTTCCATTTATTTCTTAATAGATGCAAATAAACAAAATTTTGGGGTTTGGGGTTCTTTGGATAGAGGAATTGAAATTTGCTCACATTTTGGTAATAGTTCATAGAGGGCGCCAGCTGCCGTAGATTGAAGGTGTTGGAAACGACATAACTTTTTTGTACTTTAAGGTATCTCATCTTTGGTATCAAATTCTTATTTTCCAACTTTTTTTACACAAAAAAGGTATACTTTATTAAAGTAGCTATCTCGCACCGTTTTCGAGATATTTGGCTTTGAAACTTCCAATGCTGTTGCATTAAATTACAATTAAGTACCTACAGGTATTATTAATTTAGTGGTAAAGTTTCTTAAGTAGGATTTGGACGCAAATCAAATAATTGACGTCTTCCACTTGTCTTATTACTGTCATTTGTATGCTAATTTCTATTAAGTATTATTCGTATCTAATTAAAATCACATCTTAGCTTACAAATTAAATTGTATACTCGTACATAAATGTGAGATAGAATGCCGAGGTTTTCGTTTTTGGAGTTACATGAAATCAGTTGTTTATGGAGAAACTATAAACACTTGAGAAGAACTTTAGTAGCAGGTTTTAAATGCTGCAAAGTCATTTCGCATTAAGGATTTATACTTTAAAATAAGACAATCTTTTAATAAACGTGTTGATAAATGTATTGAAGTTAGAGGTGGATATTTTAAGCAATTATTGTCAAAAAGGCATATTTTTTTACTAATGTTTACTATTTTACTGTTCATTACAATTTTTAATTCTAAATAAACCCTTGTTTTTGACATTTCTAAATTATTTTAATTATTTCAACTATTAGCATTGGAAGTTTCAAAGCCAAATATCTCGGAAACGGTGCGAGACAGCTACTTTCATAAAGTCTACCTTTTTTGTGTAAAAAAAGTTGGAAAATAAGAATTTGTAACCAAAGATGAGATACCTTAAAGCACAAAAAAGTTATGTCGTTTTTAACACATTCAATCTACTGCAGCTAGCGCCCTCTATAAACTTTAACTAAAATGTGAACAGATTTCAATTCCTCTACTCAAAGAACGCCAATCCTCAAAATTTTGTGAGGATATTTGCATTTGTTAAGGAATAAATTAAAAAAAAAATGAAATAATATTTTACATTTAACACCCTGTATCTCTTTAACTATCAACTTTTGGACTAAGGTAAGTTCGGCTAAATCGCAATATTTTTACTTGGGGAATCTACCCATGAATTTTGGCCCATTACCTCGGGACCACCCTGTATATCACTCTCTTCTTCAAGAGAAACTTTGAAGATTAAGATTAAGATCTCTGATCGGTATTTATATTTGTTGTGTGTACTGATCAGTGTTGTTGCCATGCTGGGTTTGAAGTCACTGGCCTATAGACCCCAATCCTTGATTTCTACGAATTCTTCTGGATTCCTATTATTCTCTATAGAACCTTGACAAATATCTCTTTATCTCTCTGATACTAGAATTTCAGTCTTGCATAAGGTTACAGCACATTTCATATCAGTTCCGCAAGATAATTTCTATATAATAACAAATACCTTTAGCAAAAAATTTTTAATAGCAATGTAATCTTGAAGAAAAATAAAATAAACGATATATTTTAATCTGAAGGTATCGATATTACTAGGAAAATTTTGGAAAAGAAATTGATAATAAAAGTAGTTGAGAATGTTGCGTTGAAATAAGCCATAAATATATAAAAAAAGTTACAGCCATATTGTTTAGTGTATTCCTAACGTCTTAAACTAATTATTAAAAGAAAACCAAGTGATGTGAAATTTATAAATTTATTTATCATAACAAACAGTCACAACATACACACCGAATCACACAACAATCTAGTAATTTACTTATAATACTTTTTGAAGGGACCGCTAGGGCCCTGAGGTTCAGGGTGTGCTGCATTGTATTCAAGAGATCTCAGTATGGCTAGCGGGGTTGGTGGCGGAGTGGGCAACACATTTCCAGAAGGTTGGAATCCATTTTCATCGGCTATGTAAGAAATCTGAACTGGAACACCTTCTGGAGAGGTGTATTGGTAGGACCCTCTTGCAGCTAGAGCTGGTTCAGGACCAGCAGCTACTAAGCTACCAGATTCTTGAGCAGATATTCCATTTTCCGTGTCATATCTATGAATAAACAATAAAAGTACACACGTGATATCTTTTGGCTAATATAAATTGAGGTACTTACGCATACTGGTAACTGCTACCATCTGGAGCAATATCGCTATCTAAACGAAGAATTGCGATAACCTTTCCTGGTTGGACATAAGATGGTATTGGAGATGGCAACACTGGAAGTCTAGTTGGGTATTGACGTGGTAGCAATGGGAACGCTGCAGAAGCTGCTGCAATTATTGAAGCGGTGAACAAAACCTGCAAATTAAATACAATTGCTACTGAAATATTTGCCAAAACGTATTAAATTTATCAAAAATATGTTATTTTGGTTGTACGCGTTTAATTAGTTAAATAAATTATTTATTAGAATGTCTTACCAATTTCATCATCTTGTCTGATTTAGGAGAGCACCTGACCTAGACTGAAGTTTTCTGTCGTTAGTGTATTTATATAAAGTGCTTGTGGTAAAGAAATTGGTACATCTTTTAATATCATCCAATACCGAGAAGGTTAAGGTAATATGTTAATTTGAAAAGAAACTGGTTTTGCATTTCACAATTTATTGCTTTAAGAAATTTCGTATAAAAGTCGCCGGAAGGTGAAAAATGTAGACACCAATTGATTGCAACCACCCACTCACGGACAGTATGTATGATTAATTTCAAATAAATGTAACTTATGAAGTATTCTCTAACACAGATTGTAACGTACTGTAGTTCTATAACCTTATAGTATTTTAAAAATAAAAAAAAATTATAACTTTATTAATTAAACGGTCTGAATGTATGTTTAACGACGATAAAAACGTGTCAGTAACAAAATAGAGTATCACATCTTGTATGTTAATACCCGATATACAGGGTGTAAATAAATAAATGCGAAAAAATTTCCTGTAGAAAAATAAGGTCTTTCATATAAAAAATCTCATTTGAATATACCCTGCTTAATCGCTTAAAGAAAGGAAAAAATTTACTTTACCTTACCATTTATTTGAGAATAAGCAGGAAATTTTATAAAGAATGGCATTTTCTAATAAATCTACAAATAAAAAAATGTTTTAGACACCATCCTTGAACATACTGCATATGAGTCAGATCAGATGAGTCAGATGAGTCAGATGAGATTTTTTTGCCAAAAAAACTGAATAAAAACTGGGTACTTCAAATTAGATACGACAGCATTGCTACTTCGAAAACCGACATATATAGATGGCTAAATTAAAAATCCGAAAAAAATATTATCAATAAAAATTGCTCTTTGCTATAAAAAGAAAATTCAAGTATCTCCTCATAATTTCTATTTTCCATTACAAAATTTAAAAGTGTAGTAGTTCCTGACATCCTAATTTCGTTTATTTCATTCATGTTTTTAATTCTTAATGTATTCAATACTTTCTAAAGAAATGTCGAAAAAGATGAATTAATTTATTTTTACTCCATCTAATAATTCAGTAGGTGAATACTGGGACTGTAGAATAATCTCACATTTATCAAATTGCGGATAACAAAATTGCTTATCCCATTTGTCATATTGGCAACTAAAAAAATTGTAGTTACCTTAGGATTTGCAATTTAATTTCCAACTTACATATAATTGCCAAATATGCGTGATCTTATGAAATAAACCTTATGTAAATAAATCGGTCTGAGTGAAAACTGAGTGAATGAGTGAATCCATTGAATGGAATTATTTAGTACATTTTCGGTCAATTTTGGGCATTTTAGGTTTTACTCATAAAATTTTAGTTGTAACCTACTCATACTAATAAAGGAGAATTTCACTCAAGCAGATGGACAGGAATTGATACATTATTGATTGAAATTGAGTGAAAATAAGTCCCAATTTTCTTACAGTGTATATACTTAATTTGTTTTTTACTGATAGTCTTAATGACCTTATAAACATTTAAATATACAGGATGTACCATTTTTTCCAAAAATTCTGGAAAAACATGGAACTAGTTAAGTTATTACTTATTATAAACCTAATGTCAACAGTAGTTTTCAAGCTCCAACGGGATTAAAATTAAAAAAATTTCATATTTACTGGAATATTCGTGAATAAATTTGACTTAGATTGATCAAACTTGATTAATGATTTAAAAAAAATCTATTTAAAAAAAATTCAAATTCTTATAATTTTTTTGCGTTATCTTTTTACATTTTTACATTGAATATTTCAAATGTTGAGATTTTTTTTTCGATATTTGATTTAATGCGAAATTATTAGAAATATAACGCAAAAAAAAAAATTTCATGTTAATTTATTAATTGATGTTTAAGGAATAAACCTGCTTTAATTTCTTATAAAACATTGACAATTCAGGAAAGGAAAACGGTTCGACTGATCAATTTCAACATTTATAGGTCTCATGTGCATGTATAGTGCAAAACCATACTTATCGTATCAACTTCGACGTCACCTGTTACATGGGTGTTGTATAATAATGAAAACGTAATATTAACAGTTGGTAGAAGGAAGCGCGAAAACAAACGCTTAGGTGGGTAATTCTGGAAGGAAGCCTAGATAGTTGAAGTGAGAACAGTGTGGAGATGGGAGTAAGACGATCGGCGGGCAGTGAGGCAAAATAGTGAAAAATCAAAGTGTTTAACCGGTATTAGTTAGCAGGTAATATTCTTTAAGTACTTTGTTGTTAATTGTTCTATGTAATCTTATGATTGTGATGATTATAGACGTTTCATGATAATAATTCTGTATATGTTTAGCCTTCATTGTCTTATGCTCAGGGGCGTATATTTTTCTAACGTAAAATTGTTACAATTATTATTAAAGATTGCTCATTATTTATTACATGTTAAAATATGTATATATTGTCGTGACTGCCCGGATATTGCAATAACAACTCCTTTGTTTCACATTTAACTTGTTTTGTCATGATTACGTTGTTCGAAAAACAAGTAATAAAGCATTTCTTGTGCTCACTTTATGTCATACGCATATAAGAGCCTTGTTGAATTTACTAACATTTTCGCCCGTGAGGAATGAATCTGTAAAAAGAATAATTAAATACAAAAAAAGAATTGCTAAAACAGATCTTCCGAAATCTCAACTCATAGCTGGATTGCCTCCCGTATGGGACTCCAGTACCTTCCGGCCCTGCCGGCTAACTAACACCAAACCTCTTCAGTTTTACTTGGAAGTGTGTATGTCTAATTCGAGTGAGGTGACATTTAGTGACACATTAAATGAGTCGGGCGTTAATTATCATTAGCAAAGGATCTTAATTTATGCCTTTTGTTAGCGGTTGTTTTGTATTTATATTTGGGTAGTTAGAGCAACGATCGTGGGTTTCTCTGCCATGCTCTTTCCCCACAGGAGCTCCAGGTGAGCCTGGCGCTCTCATTTTATGTTAAATGGTTGTTAATGTTTTTGTTGTTCTTTCTATTTGTCACATGTTTAATTTGAAGACTGTTGTACGTAAATAATTAAAGTAAGGTGTATTTACTCTGCTTTTGTTTTATAAAATTAAACCATACAGCCCCTCGTTAAAGTTAGTAGCCAGCACCTTCCGGTCAATTAAAAATAGATGTATACAACGTAGGTATTCCTCATGACGATCACATATTTTCGGCCATTACGTTAATTTTTATTTTTTGTCGATCGAACCCGGGGTTGTTATACTACGGTATTGAGCTAAAAGAAAAACTACAAACATGTGTACTTTTCGCAATATTTGCAAAGCAGTCGTTGATTTTCCAATACAGCAGAAATTGCAGAGGATTTCAGGTTTCTAAAACCCACCTTCCGTTCGCTGTACAATCATTAATTTTGAAAAACTATTTTTTTTTTAATTTTTGCTTTGCATTATTTCTGTTGATTGCACCAAAAATGTTCATCTCAAGGTTTAAAAACTAGAATCTTCAAGCTTCAACATGCTTTTTTTTCTTGTTTTCTTGATACGACCATTATTCGTGAAGTTACAGCCTTTCAAAAGTCACTAAAAATGTTGCTGCTCCTATAATTTTTTTGCTGAGTTTATACTTGTATATATGTATAACTAGTCACTTTTAGGCTATTATTATTATTAAATTTCAAATATCTCTAAATCTATTCGTTTCACAAAAAAATTATCAATTTTCTATTCAAAATAAAATTTTAAATTCAATATAGGCAACAAAAGTTCAAAAACGTTTTTAGTGTAAAAATTTAGTTTTTTAATGCTACAGCGCTGCATTATTCCCCAGAAAAAAATTGCTATGGCAATTACTTTTTGGTTTGTTTATAATTACAATGTCTACATTCGGAGATCAATGGCTAAATAATTTTCGTACTAATTGCCACGTCATCGGTTTAGACTCTTGATTTTCCGTGCTCTCTGCTTCAGGAGAAGCTCTGAAACTGAAGACCGGTATTTACATTTGATGTGTGTACTGATCCGTATCGCTCCAGTACAAAGTTTGCTTGGCAGGTCTATCAGTTTCGCACCTACTGATTTATCTCCATTGTTGTTCTTTAAGCAACACTAATATACCTTTAACCTCCTGCTAACATGTCTCCCTATTTGTTAGAAAATGAAAGAAAACCAAATGATATAACTTAATAAATTTATTTACCACAACAAACATTCACACAGAGAGTCACACAACAATCTAGCAATTTACTTATAATACTTTCTGAATGGAGCGCTAGTACCCTGAGGTTCAGGGTGTGCTGCATTGTATTCAAGAGATCTCAGTATGGCTAGCGGAGTTGGTGGCGGGGTGGGCAACACATTTCCAGAAGGTTGGAACCCATTTTCATCGGCTATGTAAGAAATTTGAACTGGAACACCTTCTGGAGAGGTGTATTGGTAGGACCCTCTTGCAGCTAGAGCTGGTTCAGGACCAGCAGCAACTAAGCTACCAGATTCTTGAGCAGATATTTCATTTTCTGTGTCATATCTATGAATAAACATTAAAAGTACACACGTGATATCTTTTGGCTAATGTAAATTGAGGTACTTACGCATACTGGTAACTGCTACCATCTGGGGCAATATCGCTATCTAAACGAAGAATTGCGATAACCTTTCCTGGTTGGACATAAGATGGTATTGGAGATGGCAACACTGGAAGTCTAGTTGGGTATTGACGTGGTAGCAATGGGAACGCTGCAGAAGCTGCTGCAATTATTGAAGCGGTAAACAAAACCTGCAAATTAAATACAATTACTACTGAAATATTTACCAAAACGTATTATCAAAAATATTTTATTTTGGTTGTACGCATTTAATTAGTTAAATTAATTATTTATTAGAATATGTCTTACCAATTTCTTCATCATGTCTGATTTAGGAGAGCACCTCACCTAGACTGAAGTTTTCTGTTTTTAGTGTATTTATATAAAGTGCTTGTGGTAAAGAAATTGGTACATCTTTTAATATCATCTACCGAGAAGGTTAAGGTAATATGTTAATTTGAAAAGAAACTGGTTTTGCATTT